TAGGTAGGTAGGTAGACAGGCAGGTAGGTAGGTAGGCAGGCAGGCAGGCAGGTAGGTAGGTAGGTAGGTAGATAAGTAGGCAGGCAGGCAGGCAGGTAGATAGGTAGGTAGGTAGGTAGGCAGGCAGGTAGGTAAGTAGGCAGGTAGGTAGGCAGGTAGGTAGGTAGGTAGGCAGGCAGGCAGGCAGGCAGGCAGGCAGGTAGATCCAGATACTTATTATCACTAGTGGAAGTCAAGTTTTCTTTGTGGTGCCGGCGATCTGTGCTAAGCAGGTGCTCCTCCCTGCACTGTGTCCCTGGCCCTCTTCTTTTACTCTCTTTAGAGACAGGCCTTACTAAGGTATTGATGCACAGTTGGCCTTGAACATGGGATCCTCCTGTCTCAACCTCCCTAATACTTGGGAGTACCCTAGTATAGGTCTGAGCCACTGAACATAGCTGTGAAAACTTGAAATTTGAAGTTTATGTTAAAATTTGAAGTTATAAATAAACCCAACATTTTGTTTCCCTTATAAATTATGAGAAAAGGGTTTCACAGAAGAAAATATGTGTTCTGATGTCAGTTAATGTAATAATCCCTTTTTCTCTAGCAACATCTGCACTTTGTAACATTCCAAGTGATTATATCGTTTTGTGTAGAAGGAAAGGTTCCAGCATTCCAGCAAATGGAATTTTCTTTGGCAGGGCACACATGGAAGTTTGCTACTGTTTAAAAAAGTCCAGGCTGGCCGTGATGGGTACCTGTAGTCTCAGCTAACGGGGAGGCTAAGGCAGGATGGCTTGATTCCAAGAATTCAAACTATGTGTAACATTAAGCAGGTAAATCATGTCTGTCTTTTTCTATAGGAAAACCAAATACCCCCTAGCCAAAAAAATTACCTCTTATTGCCGGCTGGATAAATGGCTAGATGAGATGAATGGAACTTAAGGTTTGAAAGGTTCAGTTAGGCACTGTGAAAAGACAGTGAAGTTGGGTGAATTCTGAAGTCAGCTTGCTGTAGCACAGATCCTGCTGTAAAAGTAAACAGTCTGCTTCAACTAGGAGGAAGGGTCTTTGATTTTGGTGGATTATTCTTGGAGACAGTTTTCAATTTTTCACTCTGAAGTAATGATTTCTGACAATCATTTATTTATAATTTCATAATTATATTTATATGTCATAAACATAATATGACATTTATGCCTAAAATTAGGGTGTTTTTAAAGATTTATTTATTATGTATACAGTATTCTGTCTGCATGAATACCTGCAGGCCAGAAGAGGGTGCCAGATCTCATTACAGATGGGTGTGAGCCACCATGTGGGTGCTGGGATTGAACTCAGGACCTCTGGAAGGACATCCAGTGCTCTTAACCCCTGAACCATCTCTCCAGCCCCGCCTAAAATTAGTTTACTCGTCTTGCTAAGGAGCAAGTATAAGAATCTAAAAGTAGTTTTATAATACTAAAGCAAATATGCAGAATTTGGGGTTTTTGTTTGTTGTTTTTTGAGATAGGGTCTCTATGTAGTCCTAGCTGTTCTAGAACTTGCTCTGTAGACCAGACTAGCCTCCCAAGCTAACAGAGATCCTCCTTATTCTGCCCCCAGAGTGCTGGGCTTAAAGGCAGGAGCCACCACACCCTGCCAGAATGGCATAAATTTCAATGATTTCAGATTGTTTAAAACTGCCCCAATGTTTAGCATCACTTCCCTCTAATGGGTTAAACAGTGGTTTTCAAAGGGAGAGAATCAAAGTGGATAGGTGTATAGTATTATTATTGCTTAATTATCCTATGAAGACTATTAATTTTTCAGTCTAGCTAATTAGTCTTTGCCAACCATCAAGCACTTAAAGAATTATTGCTGGGTGGTGATGGTGCACATCTTTGATCCCAGCACTCAGGAGGCAGAGCCAGGCATATCTCTGTGAGTTTGAGACCAGCCTGGTCTACAGAAAGAGATCCAAGACACTCACCAAAACTATACAGAGAAATCTTGTTTCAGGGGAAAAAGGAAAAAAAAAAAAAAGAATTATTATTAGAAATTGGAAATGTTGCTCTTAGGAACTAGTACTTTATAAGCCCAGCATTATCATTTGCCTTTACAAAGGAACAGTATATTGATGTTTTATTAGCTAATTGTAACATGTTAGTTTTCACATCTGTGTTGTGGAAGGTGTGACAGTGTTCAGATTGGGTTACTGACATCTTCCTGTGGTGGTCTGTAACTGTCGCCCAAATGGAGGATGTTGTTTATTCCTCAGCCAACTTTCCTATGATGCTTTTAAGATTTGTATGTTAAAAAGAAAAGTCAGGATTATTTAAAGTAGAGGAATCTTGCTTTTAAAAAATGTAATTTTTTTAATTGAAGTAATTGAAAGTAAAGCCCTGTTATGAGTCCAAAAGGAAGATTTTGGCTATTTAATTTTTAATAGAGGATGCAGTGCATAGAATTACTAGAGCGGGTAGGTGGATGCCAGAGGATTGGGAGTACAGCTCACAGTGAGTTCAAGGCCTGCCCGACCACTTAAGATCCTGTCTCAAAACAAACAATAGACATTTAAAAAGTTGGGAGCTGTCGGAGAAGTGGAAGTAGAAGTTGGTTTCTGTCTTTGGGTGGTAAATTTCATGTTGTGATAAACACAGACTCACCACTCAAAGCTGGCTTCATGGAACTTCACTAGAACATACAGTAACCTTATTTTGTGATTAATGTAAATAAAATATTAGGGATGAGTATATCCCCTCAGTGTTAAAATGTTTGCCTAGCATATGTAAGGTCCTGGGTTTCATCCTCAGCACTACAAAATGAAATATAATAAAAGAGATAGAAAAGTGATACAGAATTGTTCTTTTTACTGGACAGTTAAGTTAGATTTTTAGCAAGAATACTGTTAAAACAATGGACTGTAGAATCAGAGCTTAATGAGAAGGAAGAAAATGTTGATGGACTGGTCAGAAGCAGAACAAAGGATATACTGGAACTTGGGGTTCCATCTTGGTTAAGATCTGAGGTTCACCCTTGGCCTTACATCGGCGGTACAGCTTCCAAGTCACAAAATTCACTTTTTTATTTTATGTTTAAAATTTTTTCATTTTAATTTTACTTTATGAATATGGATATGTTGCAGATATGTCTGCATAAATGCATGGCATGCCTGCTGCCAGCAGAGTCCAGAAGAAGGCATCAGATACCCTGGAACTGGAATTACCATGTCCCAAACCCAGGTCCTCTGGAGGAGCAGCCAATGCTCTTAACTGATGAGCCATTGTTCTAGCCTTATTTTTACATTTTTAAAAAAATTGTATTTACTTATTTAGTCCTTTTTGTGGAGACAGGGTTTCTCTGTGTAACAACCCTGGCTGTCCTGGAACTTAATCAAATCTGTAGACCCGGCTGGCCTTGAACTCAGAGATCCACCTGCCTCTGCCTCCTGAGTTCTAGGATAAAAGTGTGTGCCACCACTGTCCAGCATTGTTTTTACTTTTTAGATTTTTACTAAGTTTTGTTTTTCAGGCAGGGTTTTCTTCTGTAGCTGAGGGTGACTTCAGACTCTCAGTACTATCTCAACTTCCCAAATCCTGGGGTTGAAGCAGCATCGACTTCAGCCACTGCTGTCAAATACACCTTTCAAAAACGTGCATTTCAGTTGTGCTACGTTCTTTTAGTTGTGCAGTTATCATTTAATTCCAGGCGTTTTTATATAGTGACACTCACTAAACACAGATTTCTTTCTTCGTGCGTCATGTGGAGACCAGAGGTTGATGTCAGGAGTCTTGATTGTTTTCTGTACTTTTTTTTTTTTTAAAACTGAAGATCTCTTGCTGAGCTTGGAGTCTGCCAGTTTGACTAGTCTGCCTAGCCATCTTATCTAAGGATTCAGTCTCTGTCTCTTAAGGACCTGGACACTTTATCCACTGAGCCATTTCTCCAGACTTCTTAAACATTTTTCACACACACCCCCAATCATGAATCCATGAAGGGAGTTACTCATTACCCACCCTACCCCCACTCCATACCACCCCATGGCAACCAGTAATTGCTTTCCATATTGATTGCCTGTTCTGCATATTTCACATGAGTGGAGTCATAGAGCATGAGGCCCTTTGTATCTAGCTTCTTTCACTTCACATGTTTTTAAGATTTTATGTTACAGCATGCATCCTTGCTTTATTCCTTTAATGGCACAATAATTCATGTTTTTAGATTTACTACATTTGTAATGAGTCTGTTCATAAATTGATGAACATTAATAAGGTTGTTACTTTTTGGCTGATAATGTTGCTATGAACATTTCTGTATTCATGATTTCGTTTTTCTTGAGTATCTAAATAGACATAGAATTGCTGGTGGTAAAAACTATGTCTAACATTTAAAGAAAGTGCTAAACTGTTTTCTATAATGTCTGCACCATTTTATTTTCCTGCCAGCAATGTATGTATAAAACTTATTTAGGCATATAATGCATGAATTTGTCCCCAGTAAAACATCATCGTGGAGCAGCCCCCATACCCCATACCTTTGACCTACTCTAGTCAGCTTCTATACTGTATGTAGAAGAAATAATTGTTTCCAGCTTAATATGTATTTTTCTGAAACGTCCAGAAAATTTCAGTGTAAATAGGTGGTGTGCCCCTGCAGTTCCAGCTGTTCAGGAGACTGGATAAGATTCCTCAAGCCCAGAAGTTGGAGATGAGGCAATAAAATGAGGCCTTGTCTCAAGAGAGAAGAGGAGAGAGGGCAGGAGGATTCTCAATATAGGAAGTGGCATTAATAGTTTCCCTCCATTAATGCAGTATTTCATGGAAATGCAACGTGGGATTTCCTCTAACTGCAGAATGTGTCACCATTAAGAAACTATTAGTGAAAATCTGTCAGACGAGCAGATCAAGCAGATGAGTTGCAGGTTTATTATCCGGCTGGGTGTGGTAGTGTACACAGTTATCCTAGTACTTGGGAGACTGAATCGAGGGAAGCTGCAGATGAAGGCCAGCCTGAACTCCACAGTGAAACTCAGAAAACTAAGGGTAAGAAGGAAGTGTCATGGTAGACATTGGTTTAGCATGCAGTGTCCTGGCTGGATTTGATCTCTAACACTGTGTTGAAGAAGTTTGATGTCCTCTGTGTTGCTTTGAAAATGGCAGCTGTTGGGCTTTTATCTAATGAAACAGTAGCCATAAAACTGATATTTTCTTGTCCTAGTGCTTGGCTGGCTGGCTATGAAGACCCTGTGGTATCTAGAATTAACATGAGAATACAAGATCTCACAGGACTAGATGTTTCCACAGCAGAGGAATTACAGGTAAGCAACCGCAGCACATCTAAAGTTATTCCTGCTTCTCCAGGAGGCTCTTCTGTAGATTTCCTGCACTGAACAGATAGTGCTTTACTTGTACAAGCGACCCTGTAAGTCAAGCATTCAAAACACCTAATCCACTGCAGAAATTGAAAATTTGAAAGATACCTATTACTGAACTTAATATTAAGCATACGCTTAACTTTAAAATTTTCAAATTATATTTGTCATGGTACATGCATATGCATGTATATGCTGTGGGTCCTCAGAACCGGACTCAAGTTACCCGGCTTGGTGGCCTTTACCCACTGAGTAAAGTCATACTTGTCCCTCATTTTTTTTGTAAATTCCTGGACCCAGCCTCCTTATGAATGGCTGGGGTGACTTTGGCTCTTTAAAAGGTATTCTTTAAATTGAGGTATAATTGGGTGTCATACATTTTACCTTGGTTTAGGTATATTTACTTGGTTGTGATCTCATCACCATGATTTAATTTCAGATGTTTTCATCACCCTAGCAAGAAACTGTCCATACCCTGAGCAGTAACTTCCTATTCACCTTCCCAGGCCCCGGTACCACTGGCTACTTTTTGCTTCTATGAATATACTTATTCTGGATATTTTGCATATAGGAATTGCTTAACTTGTGACCTTTATATCAGATTTCTTTCACTAAAATTATGTTGCTAAGGTGTATGTATGTTGCAGCATGTATCCCTACTTTATTCTTTTAACAGCATGATCCCTTTTGTGGGGTTACCTTTTATCTGTCTGCTCATCAGTTGATGGATATCTGGGTTACTTCTGCTTTTTTGTTGCTGTGACTAATTGTGCATGCAAGTTTTTGTAGGACCAAACATGGGAAATTCCCACGTGTGTTTTGTGAGTGTGTGTACAAATGAGAGTGAACTCATGTGGCAGCCCTGCACTTAACATCTGAAGAGCTTTCAAGCTGTTTTCCAAAGTGGGTGCAGCAGCAACACATGAACCTCCTTAACACTGTCCCTTTCTGGTGTTAGTGCAGCATGCACAGTGAGTGTGAACTGCTGTTATTAAGGTTCCCTTGCGTGTTCCTGATGAATAATGATACTGAACATCATTCACAGGCTTATTGGTCATTTCTCCTGTTCTGTTGATTTGTGTTCTTTATATATCCTGGATACTAGTCCCTTGTCAGACAACTGACTTGTAGATAGTAAATCCTGTTCTGTGGCCTATCTTCACTTTCTCAGTGGTGTCCATTAACACAAGTTTTAATCTATGTGTGGTTCATGTATTTGCACACCCACGAGGAAGTCAGGTGTTGGGCAACCCTTGAGATGGGGTCTCACTGAAGCTGGAGCCTTGGTTAGGTTGGCTAGTCAGTGAGCCCCAGTGATCCTCCTGTCCCTCTGCAGACCCTCGCCTCATTTCCCAGGGCTGGGCTTCACAGCCCCAGCTGGGCCCTGCTTCTACAAACGTGGGTGCCGGGACCCCGCCCTCGGGGCCTCCTGCCTGCCAGCACTCTTACCCTAAGCCCTCTACCCACAAGTCTCGCTGCTGCAGTTTTTCCGACACTTCCTGCTGCTTGTGTCACGTGATCCACAGCCAGCGCTTGAGTTTCCTCCTGTAGCGAGAGCTTCCGTTCTCTTCCTCGGTGCGCTCGGAACCAAGTCTGTGCTCTCGAGCGTGTGACCGCACACTCTATCTACCCTTGGCCCTGAAGAGTTCTATTATCACTTACGTTCGAGTCTTAGGTCCGTTTGGATGGTGTTTCACGTGTGGTATGGTGAGGCCGCTCCAGTTTCATTTCTTTTATCAATTGTCCCAGGACCATTGGCTGAAAAGACTTTTTTTCTAGTTAATTGTCCTGACAATTTACAACATTAGCAATAATGGAGAACCAACGTGTTGTACTTTTTGTTTAAAAAAATGGTTTGAATGGTACTTGTCCCAGTTTTATTGTGGACTTCCGTTTTGTGACGTGTCGCCCTTCTGAGTTGGTTTTGTCCTTTGTGCTCTCAGTACTCGGAAGTATCTGAGGTAACATTCTCCTCCTTCCACTCACCTGCCATCAGGAAGGTCCCCAGGCTGCTTGCCTGGTCTCTCAGACAAGAGTGGGCACATCTCCCTTGTTGGCATTTGTGTCTTCATGCTCTCCGCTGTGCTGTACTGCCGTCTCTGTCCACTGTCACATGGGTTTGTCACTGCGGTGGGCAGGTGACACGGTCCGGCTGTGCTGTCTGTGACAGCCCTTGGGGTAGTAAGTTGTTCCAGGAAGAACAGGAGCAGGCCCTGCGCCTCGTGCCCTTAGTCAGGACAGCACAGCAGCTGAGCTGACGGCCACTGCACAGCAGGCAGCCTGGATCAGAGTTGCTGAACTTGTCCTCCAGTCTCTGATCATCCTCCTGGGTATTTGATCTCATTATTTTTAAAAACCATTTTGATGTGTTTTTTTCTGACCTAATCTGTTTACCCTACTAGAGAATTGATACATTTCTCCTTCCTATAGGATACAATTGTTTCCACAACATAGCAAGTAAAGGACACAGTGTAATAATTTACAGATGGCGTCTTCTCTGTCATGGTGGTGCTCTTAACTGTCCATTTGTCAGCATTTGATTTTGTGATGGAGGATAGGGTGAAAGAAAACATCATTTTCATTTTATATTGTGCCCTAAGTTATAACTGTGATGTGGACTTAGAACAAATGCCTCTTTTACTGGGGCATCATGGGGAACATCTGGATTATTAGGACCCTACAGCAGGAATGATTACATTGGTATGGACTTTTCCCCTTTAACCTAAAATGATGAAAATTGTGTAAAAGAAAATTTATTTTTGTTAAAGTGCATTGGGTAGAGAGATGGCTGAGTGATTAAGAGCACTGGCTGCTCTTCCAGAGGACTGGGGTTCAGTTCCCAGCAAACACATGGTAGCTCACAATCTCCTGTAACTCCATTTCCAGAGGACCCGATGCCCCCTTCCTGCCTCCACAGGTTCCAGCACATATGATGCACATATAATCATGAAGGTGCATGCACACGCACACACACACAATAAATAGTTTTTAAAGTTTACCTAACTATATAAGAGGTCAAAATGGGGGCTCTTAAGAATTTTGAATATTAATCTTGGTTTCTCCCCCCCACCCCCTTTGTTACTAGAGGTTGGACTCAGGAACTCAGTCTTGCTTTGCAAACTCTGGGCCCTTGAATGGTAATATTAATAGTTCTCATTCATGTTTTGTTTCTTTCCTTCAGGTAGCAAATTATGGAGTTGGAGGACAGTATGAACCCCATTTTGACTTTGCACGGGTATGTGAAACTAAATCCACTTTAGGTACTCCATGTTTAAAGATAGATCTTTGTGGTGCTTGTTTAAGACAGGCAGACTTTATTGGGGATGTGGGGATGGTGCAGCTGTAATGAGGATTTCAGTGAGAGACTAAGCTGAACTCCAGGTTATGGGGCAGGGGACAGTGGGCATAGGGAGCCGATGACCGAGCAGTGATTGGGCTATCTTGCTGCACAGGGACAGGAGCCTGATGAGATACTAGGGTGGAGGGATAAGCATGAAAGGTCCGAAACCGGGGCCCAGCTGAGGAGAGGGTGCAGAGGAACTGAGGTGTGGTCAGGAAGAATGCCTTTGTGGATTCTGTCTTCATATAAAAACCCGTTGACTGCTTGAAAGTTGTGCCAGGAGATCTTGAGAAGTCTCTGAAGAAAAGAATAGCAAAAGCACTCAAAAACATAGAAGACCTTTTAGTTCAGCGCATTGGTGAGCCTGGAAGAATGAAAGGTTATTTCCCGCAGACACACTGAACAAAGACAGTTGTGGATGAGGTGTGAAGGAGCACTCCTGTCAGCGCCTGGAGCTCTGAGAGGTTTGCCCATAGGCCTCTAGTCAGGTCCCATCGTTAGGAAAGAAAAGATGCCTTAACACCTGCTTCCAGAGGGGAACTGTTCCCTAGGAAGGAGTTTGATTAAAGCGTAGACCTGGCCTCATGGGAAGGATTAAAGTTGCTCAGTTTGGTAATGTTTCTCAGTGTGGAGTGTGGCAGAAGCAAATTTTACAAAAAATCTGTGGATAAGGTAAGTCTGGAGACGGTAGCAAGCAGCAGGCAGACGGCCACTCAGTCACTGTGTGGTCCTTAAAAAATCAATAAGGGGCAGCAGAAGTTTGGAAAATAAGCAAAGGGAAGTTATTCTAAATAGAAAAATGTTAACTTGTAAAAAAGATGAGAGCTGAGAGAACTGAACCGGGCGATAGGTGTGAGATGAGAGAGAAACTGGAGTCTGGGAGCTGAGTGGACACGAGACTGTTAGAGTGTGTCATTATCAAGTCTTCATTTCATCAGGTCTCAGCATAATCGCTGACCTTTCTGATACCATGCTGTGTGATTCCACAAGCTCGCCTCTTCAGGGTAGCAGCAGTCCTGGCCTGCAGCAGCTCTCTACTGACTTAGCTCAGGTCCCTGTGTGCTCTTCTGGGGAATCCTGCAAAAACCACACTTTTGTCTCTTTTCCTCTTATTCCCGAAACTGGAACATGTCAGGGGTTTGGTGATGTCAGGTTAAAGCCCCACATCACAAAACTAAAACATACTATTTTGAGATAATCGTCGATTCCTAGGAAGTAGCAAGTAAGTGTATGGGACCCTTCCGTGTCCCACCCCGAGGTTGAGGTCTTGTTTAGCTGTAGCTCAGTAGCAAACCAAGAACGCGCCATTATGATGTCACCAGTTCGTCTTAGTTTTGCATATGGCTCTGCACTCTCAGACATGTGACTTGATGTAATTCCTGTCATGTCTGAGGCATATCACTGTTCGTCATAAGTCCCCCTGAAGTACTGTTCTGTTACTACACACCCCCTTCCTTCTCCCATCCTTAATTTCTGCTAACACCATTACATGGAAGAACACACTATTGATTCATTCAGAAAACAGGTCTAGAGTTTGTTTTCTCTGATAATTTTGCCCAAGTATCCACTGTGTGGGCTGATTCCAGCACTGGGAGGCTAGTGTGGGCACAGCTCACTGGTGGTGCACTGGGGGTATGTTCTTGAACTTCCTGCTACTACTGTGTCCCTGGAGTATTCACATTACTGAGTTGTACACCATTCTGTTCACTGCTTTATCCACAGAAAGATGAGCCGGATGCTTTCAGAGAGCTCGGGACAGGAAATAGAATTGCTACGTGGCTGTTCTATGTAAGTTACAGCTAAATTGAGATTGGATTGCGTGACTCCTTGATGTCGCCGTGTTACATGAAGTTGGTGTGGGGTCACTCCTGTCGACTACAGAGTCATGTCACAGCCAGCCTGGGTCTCCAACAGAAAAAGGCCTGAGGGTGTGAGGCTCCATGATTTGTCTAGTGTGCGGGGAGGCCTGGGTTTGATTTCTAGCATGTCATAGGCCAGGCATAGGGCTGCATGCCTGCAGTCCCAGTACTTGGAAGGCAGAAGGATCAAGGTCATCCTTGGGTATATAGTGAGTTTGAGGCCAGCATTGATTATGAGACCTTGTCTCTGAGGGGGAAGGGTGTTGTTTAAAAATTATTTCCTGGCAATGGTGGTGCCTGCCTTTAATCCCAGCACTCAGGAGGCAGAGCAGGCAGATCTCTGTGAGTTCAAGGCCACCCTGGTCTACAGAGTGAGATCCAGGACAGCTAGGGCTACACAGTGAAAGACTGTCTTAAAAAACAAAACCAAAACTCCAACAAAAAAATTATTGATAGTCCTAGTACTTGGAGATGTTCAGTATTTTGGAATATGGACTATTTCTATAGATACATTATCTACATATGCACACACTATAGACATGTAGCTTTACAGTTTTCCACAAATTGAACATGTCTGGTAATCAGCACTCACATTAGAACGTAGCACAGAACAGTAGCTATTTTCAAAACAGCAAAAATTACATTTGTTAGAATTTTGTGTGTGTGTGTGTGTGTGTGTGTGTGTGAGAGAGAGAGAGAGAGAGAGAGAGAGAGAGAGAGAGAGAGAGAGAGAGAGAGAGAGAGAGAGAGAGAGAGAAGGCCTAAAATATGCTAAGCACACACTGTGTCTCTGAGCTACAGGCCCAACTCCAAAATTAATATTTGTTCCATTTCATCAAACTTTTCTGTTATATGACTAATCACCCCCAAATGATTTTCCCTTTGGTGGAGGTGGTAGGGTGTCAAACCTATGGTCTCATTCATTCATATATATACACACACACATATACATATATACATATATACATATATATGTGTGTGTGTATACATATATATACACGTGTGTGTGTGTGTGTATATGTATATATATAAAACTTAGCAGCCTTTACAATCAAGTGTCTTCCTTTTGTTAGCTCATTAACAGTCCAAAAATGTAAAGAAAACACAAAATACTTAATCTAGACTCTTTGTGTATTTTCCATCTTTACATGGCTATTTCTTTTATATTTTTTATTATCTCTTTAAAGACTTTTTTAAGCTATTTATTTCTTTATATAACTGCCTATACTCATTTTCCTCTCCCATCTAGGCCTACGTACATTTTTACACACATTGTAAACCGTTTAGATGTTTATTCCATCTGAATCTGTCTTATTGTGTATCTATAATCCTTTTCTGGCCAGGAGAGATTTTAAACTGCTAAGCTGTGCAGCAGCTTTGCTGTTGATTCTGCCCCATCCAGCTTCCCAGCATAGCAGAGGTACACTTCCTGCCAGCTCTGGGAAGCAGTGGGTCTATGCCTCCATCAAGCAGCGTGTAGCCCAGAAACCTTTCCTTTTTTTTTCCTTTTTATTTTTTTGTGTCTGTACTAGCAAAAGCTAAATCCGCTTGGAGATGCCTCTGTGTACCATGGCAGGACTCCTCCGTGCTGTAGGTCAAGCTCAGATGCCGCAGCGTCTCTGTGCCACGGCCTACATGAGAGGCACAAACTGGGAAGCTGCTCTGACTCGGTTTCAGAACTCTTTCTTAAAGCTTTCTCAAGTTTGAGGTGGAAATTCTTGCCCTATGTTTGAACACCAAATGTAGTGTTTCTTGGTCCCAAGTAAACAGAGGCTTGTATGAATTACAGATTGTATGACCTGTGGCTCAGGCTTCTCCCTAACTAGCTCTTTCATCTTAACCCATTTCTGTTCATCTATATGTTGCCACGTGGCCGTGGCATTACTAGTCTGCTGGCATCTTGTTTGTTGCCCCTTGGACAGCAGACTGGCATCTCTTCTTCCCACCTGTCTCTTTCCTGTCTCTCTCCTTGGATTTCCTGCCTACCTCTAAGCTGCCTTGCCATAGGCCAAAGCAGCTTTTTTATTAACCAGTGGGAACAACACACATTCACAGTGTACAGAAAGATATCACACAGCATTGTAGCCAATCCATGTGGCCTGGCCATCTTCACGCTTGGAGAGTAGCCAGCCTCCCAAACAGAAAATTTTACATGAACATGACATTTTTACAGCCTGTTTTTAGAAGTCATACAGTGTCGTCCTCTGTTTTTAAATCACACCTGCTAGGGAAGCACTTTACCTCTGAACTACATCCTCAGTTCTACCCAGCCTCAGGGTGAGGGAACATGGGCTCGCACCACTTGAAAGGATTCCAAAGTCATGTCAAAAGAGCCTTAATGACTGAGGCTGTAGCTCAGAATCCTGGCTTGGATCTTGAGCACTGGGAAAACAAAAACACGTAGTTAGGATGTTATTACATTTGGAAAATACAATTGGCTAGTGGTGTAACCCTTATTTTTAAAATATGTGGTTTAGCAGGGCATGGTGGCACAATGTTTTTAGTCACTTATTTTAGAGGTGACATTATGAAGCAATACATAGTCGGGTTTTATTTGGTATTTTCTGCTTGTGGTGGTATTTGAAAATCTTCACACTATCATGGATTTCCTTGGTGCATGTGCTTTTTCAGTTAATTAAGGTTTGTATTTTTATTCTAGGTTACCTTTATGATAAATAAATATATATATATATTTCTTTAATCTTCTGTTTTTTTTTTTGTTTTCATTTAAATTTTATCTAAAGTTTTTTCTCTTGTAGATGAGTGATGTGTCTGCTGGAGGAGCCACTGTTTTTCCTGAAGTAGGAGCCAGTGTTTGGCCCAAAAAAGTAAGCTCAGTTTGTTCGTGGGGCTTGTTTTTATGGGTCTTTTTCTCCTGAAGTAGAGTTGCACCTGCAGGTTGTGGCCCAGGAATGAGTTACATTTTCTTTTATTTATATTTATGATATGGTCTTTTGCCTGTATGTATGTGTTAGATCCCGAAGTTACAGACAATTGTGAGCTGCCATGTGGGTGCTGGGAATACCTGGGTCCTCTGGGCCATCTCTCCAGCCCCATGTTAGATTTTCAGACTACATTAATCTCCAAGTAAAGGCTGGGCAAGGAACAAAGGTTTTGAGATCTAATTTCCAAGATTTGATTTTTGTATAATTCTCTCCATATTGCTGGACTGTTCTTTAAAACACTTTTTGTTTTTTTTTTTTTTTTGGTTTTTCAAGACAGGGTTTCTCTGTATAGCCCTGACTTTGAACTCAGAGATCCACTTGCCTCCCAAGTGCTGGGATTGAAGGCGTGCACCACTATGCCCGGCCAAAACCCTCTTTTGTCAACCATTTGTTAACTTCTATATGAGTAAGAAAACATTTCAGAGTGATGGATAGACTCACGGAATTAGAGAACACGATTCGCTACTGTAGAAGGAACAGGAAAATATAAGTGCTGTGAAAAGTGAAGACCTAGCATTTTATCTGGTGTTAATTTTGAGTTGTTCTCCACAGGGCACCGCTGTCTTCTGGTATAATCTGTTTGCCAGTGGAGAAGGAGATTACAGCACACGCCATGCAGCCTGCCCCGTGCTAGTTGGAAACAAATGGGGTAAATAGTTCCTGTAGTCTCTGAAAAATGAGTTATTTCACTTTGAAACTTTATAACCTGCACCTTAAAACAAAATGCCTCCTCCCGTGATTTGCCATATGGCTTCATGTTGTATGGGATTCAGCTAAGCCTGATCTGAATATAAATTTGCATCCCATAGATGAGCATTTTAGTGAGATTGTTTTTGAGGGTAGGTGCTCCATTTCACTTGAGCTTTTCAAGAAGCATTAGATTAGTTGACTTCTTTCCCCTGGAAATGGGTAAGTCAGAATAGGGCACAGTGCAGACTAATGCCTGAGATGGAAGAGAGAGTGTTTCTCCCTGAGCTAACGGGGCTTTCCTAAGCCTTAGCTCAATCTTTGTGTCCTCAGCACACAGCAGTTACTTTTTAGGCATGTTAAGTGCCAGAATAGATTTGGGCTAAGGCTGGGACAACACTTGGTTCTAGTGTAGTGTTTAAGAGGCCTCCTCTCAGACCTTGCAGGTACAGGATTGCCACCATTAACAACTAAAATAGGAAGAGAAACAGGTTTAAGATACATTAATCAGTATGTGAGTTACGGTATGTCAGTGGCCACGTTTCAAATGCTCACAGTCTACATGTGTCTGTGGTTATAATATAACCACTGCAAGGAAGCCTGTTTAGCAAGATCGTAAAAACCCTCTTGCTGATTGTGATGCTGTGAACTGCTGGACCTCAGTGAGGACAGGCTGATTGGGAAGAAAGCTTCTCCATCATGTGAGTGGTCTAAAGCAAAGAAACAGGTTCTCCATCATGTGAGTGGTCTGAAGCAAAGAAACAGGTTCTCCATCATGTGAGTGGTCTAAAGCAAAGAAACAGGTTCTCCATCATGTGAGTGGTCTAAAGCAGCAGCAAAAGGTTTTGGCCATTTTTCTTAGGTCTTTGAGCCAACTGTTGAATAAAGACTGGGTACCAGGGCGGTGACAGTAACGAGTGTAGACAACCTAGTTCAGATATTTTGTGTAAGTCAGTGACATTGGCTTATTCTGTAATACCAGAAAAGGGAGTAGAAAATTTGGGGGAGGGCATCCTTTAAAAGAGTATGTTATGGATGTAGTGGTAAGCTTTTAACCCCAGCACTCAAGAGGCAGAATCAAGCACAAATCTTTGAGTTTAAGGATAGCCTAGTCTACAGAGTGAATTCCAGGAGAGCCAGGGCTATGCAGAAGAACCCATCTCAAGAACAAACATTTGGAACCAAGGGAACTATCTATCTATGTATGTGATAGCAACGACCGATCAGAGAATCACGTCCGCTTTACTGTCTTTGGATTTGGAGCTAGCACATGGGAGCAGGGGAAAGAGCTCTGTTCCATCCACGCTGTTCCACGTGTAGCTCACTTTAGGCCTCATTAGATACACATACATGAAATCTGATGTTTCCAACATTGTCAAGTTTATGTAGCATCTGCCTTTATCTGGGTTTTAATCCATGTTGAAACTGTTACTGACAAGCTTTTAGAGGAGAGAAGAAAAGTCTTATTGTTTTTGTTTTTGTTTTTTTTGTTTTTTTCCTCATAGTATCCAACAAATGGCTGCATGAACGTGGACAGGAATTTCGAAGGCCGTGCACCCTGTCAGAACTGGAATGACAGACAGGCTCCCCTCGCTCCTGATGCCCTCTAACAGGCCTGGCACAATTGCTGATTAGAACTTTCTGAAGTTTACAGCTGACTAACACTCCATGATTCATTCGGTCATGAACTTCATCCCGTGTTTTGTCGGTGGACAATCACTTATTTTGTGGGGGTTTTTGTTTTTTAATTAACACTCAATCACCACATTATGTAAAATTTTACAGTTCAGTTATCACAGGGTACAGGACATTTAAAATGAGGAATCCTAATTGTTGTTTAAGAGCATTTTGGTTAGATTAAAAAAAAAAAAACAAAACCATCCAGTTGTAGATTTTCCACATCTCAGTAGATGGTGGGCCAAGAGAGGCTGTGCATGGGGTACAGATGCTTACACCCCCGCTCATCCTTGGCTGGGTTGCTAAGCACTGGTAATCAACAGGAGCCTAGTCTGGGTCCTAAGGGGCTCGCCTCCATCTATTATTCCACATTCATATTTCTTACTATTTAAAGAAACCATATTTTTACCAAATCCCCCTCCTCACCAGTGGTGAATTCAGCTGGTTAGAGAAAATTCCTTTGTTGAAAAAGTCCTGCATGGCAGACCTGGCCTCACAATTAAAATGCTCAGACTTGGGCTTTTTCTTAAGTGACTGACGGTGTCCAGAGACTTGCTGTTCCATGTGCCAGCACGCTGCCTTGTGTCCTGCCACAGCAGCTGGTGATGTTGGCATTCCAGTTCAGTACTGTGCCTTAGAAAACTCGGAGTTAACATAGACAGATCCTTGTCATGACGAGTGAGGGAGTGGATTCTTAAAAAGAAAGCTGTTTTATAAAAAGCCAAAATGTGTTTTTCTTTTAAAATCTGAAACGTGTTATAACAGTGACCTATTTATGATCTTAAATCTTTTTTAAAAAAATGTTTCTGTGTGGTATTTTTCATGTTTAAATTCAAGTATAAAATAACAGTGCTCACAGGTTAATATACATTACTCCTTTACTACATAGAGTTTAGATTTAATATTTGTGGTTAGACATTTATTCAATCAAAACATGGTTCCTTGGGGTAGAGCATGCCTGAGCCCCTCCAGACTCTGTGAAACACTAACAAAAAGTGTACTTCTTCAGAGACGGTCATGCTTTGATTGTGAGTTGTTAAAATAATGAAACTTACTCTTGCTTTTATTCAAAAGCCTGAGTGTGGTCTTGATATGTGTGAGGGAATTCTTCATTCACACAGGGCTCTAATTCTTTTTTTCTTTTTTAATTCTCTGGGAAAGTAGATATTAAAGTGAACTGTTCCAATCATAAAGATTTTAGGCCCCCCCCCCAAAAAAAAAGTTCAGCACTTTAAACTGATTTTGCAGCCAAAGATACTTTAAAAAATAATAAACAGTCTGGGCATGGTGGCCCACATCTTTGCTCCCAGCACTTGGGAGGCAGAGGCAGAAGGATCTCTGAGTTCAAAGACAGCCTAGTCTACACAGTAAGTTCTAGGTCAGCCAGAGCTACGTAGAGAGATCTTGTTTCAAAACCAGACCAGCAAGTCAACTTCTCTTAGGCTGGTGGTGTAACTCAGACATAGAGCAACATGTGTGAGCCCTGGGTTCCATTCCGCTACTAAAACCCCATACCAGTTAACATGGAAGCAACAAATTCTGCAAGGAAAATGGGGATTCAAGGCCAGAAAATAGTTCAGTCACAATGTGTTAGCAACTCCAGTATAAATTAGGAAGATATGCCGGGCGGTGGTGGCACACGCCTTTAATCCCAGCACTCGGGAGGCAGAGGCAGGCGGATCTCTGTGAGTTCGAGGCCAGGAAAGGTGCAAAGCTACACAGAGAAACCCTGTCTCGAAAAACCAAAAAAAAAAATAAAAAATAAAAAATAAATTAGGAAGATAATGTATAAATTTAAAAGCAGATTATGTATCTTATATAAGAACTTAATCTATGTATCAGCCTGCCTCTGCCTCCTGAGTTCTGAACATCTGGCATAGAGAAAGGTACCTTGTCATGGGTGCAGTTTGCAGTCTCAGGGAACTACAGTGGCTGGTCCCCAATCAGAAAGCCACAGGGTTTGTGAGGGGAAGGGGGAAAGTTGTTGAAACCAGGCATGGCCTCTAAACACATGAGACACTCGACCTCACTGAAGTCAGCAGCGTTAACATAAGCAAGTAAAGTGTGTTGTCTAGGATGTGTGAAAACTGCCACAGCTTGATTTCCTATCAGAAGTTAACATCCCGAAATTCTGGTTCTGGGTATGAAATGAAGGCAGAGAGTTGAAATGTTTCCACCCAGGCTCCTAACAGGAGTATTGTAATCACCATGAAGCAGAGGCCACTGAAGTACAGAACTGGATGAGTGGAGACAAGGTCACGTTAGAAAAATACGTAGCCGGGCGGTGGTGGCGCACACCTATAATCCCAGCACTCGGGAGGCAGAGCCAGGCGGATCTCTGTGAGTTCGAGGCCAGCCTGGTCTACAGAGTGAGTTCCAGGACAGGCACCAAAACCACACAGAGAAACCCTGTTTCGAAAAACCAAAATCAAAAAAATAAAATAAAGAAAAGAAAGAAAGAAAAAGACTCACGCGCTCAGCATGGATGAAGCTTGGTGAAGTCAGTCACACAAATGCTCTTCTCCACTTCATGAGATACCCCGAGTAATCAAATGCAAAAGAAGTAGGTGCTTGCCTGGGTGGAGAAGAGACACTTGGGAGTTAGTACTTAATGGGTATGTTGCACAACATTATGCACTTAATATAATCTAAATAGACTCTTTGATTTTAGACATTTTGTATGTATGAGTGTTTTCCCTGCATGAATATATGTACCACATGTGAGCTTGGTGCCCTTTGAAATCAGAAGAGGCCATCCGATCCCTTAGAACTAGTTATGGTTGGTTGGTAACCATCATGTAGGTGCTGGAATTGAACTCTGGTCCTCTGTAAGAGCAGCAAGTAGTGCTCTTAAACCTGTGAGCCAAGCCATGTCTCCAGCCCCTAAATA